TTGTGAGATTTGTTACTTGGAGATGTAATTCTGGTCTTCTACCATTTGTATTATTTTTCTACTGATGTATTTGGGGGAGAGGGCATGCTGAGAAAATTATGTCTTCATTGGAAAAGAGTTAAGTTTATTATTATCTATTCTCTTGAAAAACTGAATTCCTGAAGTACATCATATCTCTGGACAGTGGTTTATTGTCAGATTTTAAAATACTAAAGAAGTTGAGTTCTTCACTGATTGAAGTATATACAGAATAGCCTGAATTAATTTGAACTCTTTGTACTTTTATTTCTTGAAATCCTAGTTAGATTATTGAGTAACCTCCTTAAAATATAAATTAAAAACCCAAGCATAACACCTCTCTAACAGTCCTATTCTTTTTAATGATATTGTGTGAAAAGTGATACTTCTTTGGCAAAGGTTTACCTTGTGATGGCACAATAAACACTACCTAACACAATAAGAATCAACTGAAAATTGTTTTGTAGATGTATGCAAATATGAGAAATATGTCTCTTCTCTGTTTCATTTCACTGTTGAAAGCCACATAGTCTGTAATGCTCAGGGTTTGTTTTGGTTTGGTTTGGTTTGTTTTTTAATGGCACAGTCAGCAGTCATGTTCCTCAGGGATTCTTTCTGGGAGCAGTTCTGGTCAACATATTCCTTCATGACCTGAAGAAGATACTGAACAGAAGTTCATGAGCAGTGCTAATGGGTAGCCAAATGCTATGCCAAGGAAAGGACTTCCAAAAGAACTCATAAGACAGAGTGGACAGGCAAACAAGGGGTAGAAAAGCTTTAAATATTTAAAAAAAAATCTGGGTAAAAGTATTCTAAATCTTCTTCACACAATGTAGGAAAGAAAGTCCTGGAGTCATCATTGGCAGTTCCCTGAAATCATTGGCTCAGCACAAGCAATTTTCAAAAAAGCTAATGATATCTCATCATCACCACATCACCAGCAAGGATATTGTGAATAAGACAGATGATGTTTTGTCACCATACAAAACCTTAGAGTGCCCATTTTTTGAATATTGAGTAAAGTTTTAGAGTCTACATCTCCAAAATGAGCTAATGAATTAGATATGATACAAAGAAGAGTAATTCATGCAGCAGGGGATAGAGTAGCTGCCTTAAAAAGGAAAAATATCAGAAGTCAGGGTTGCTTCAGTTTGAAGAGGAGAGGGCTGAGGCGTATATTCAATCAAAGTTTACAAAATCAGAAAAACACTGAATAAGCTGGATGTGGAATTGTTCAGCAAGTGGTGCAATATAAGAAACAGGTAGTATTCAAAACCAGTAAACAAACATGGATGCATTAGTGGCTAAATTATTTCTTTACACGTCAGGTTTAAGCCTCTGGATCTTGCTGCTCCATGGGGTTATGAAGTGAACAGTATCAGTATCGACACATTCCTGGGGAGTCTGGATACTTTACCAGGACTGGGCCAGGGATAATACCTTCTGATATTCCCTACTGCAACAACTATGGATGCTGGAGAAGTAAGAGGGGAAGATACTGTAGGAAGCAGTAGGCTCATGTGTTTGCCCCAAGTGCTACTGCTGGAAACAGAGCACAAGGCTGCATCACCTTTGTTGTGATCCAGTACAGTGTTATTTTTTACATTCTTGTGTTTTAGTTGTTTAATGAATTTGTTTGAAAAGGACCTGCAGCAGGAAACTGATGGAGTTTTTCTGGGAGAATGGCTACTCCTGATTGTGATCCATGGGTGTTGCTCAGTGAAAGGAAGAGCAGACTGCGTAATAAAATAAAGAAGACTTTATTCTACTGGTGTCATACATCATCACATCTTCCAGTTTCATGTACATCATCATGTCTTCCAGTTTCTTTGTATCCAAGTTATGAAATCAATGTGATGGAATACTGTAGTTAAATGAGTAACATTTTAGTAGATGCACCATGACCGACCAAAGGCAGCAATTACCTGCCCCACTTGCCAAGTAAAACACAGTAGCTTAAACTGTGATTTAGCCTGACAAATGATTTGTGGTTTAAGCCTAGAACCTCCTGATTCACACAGTCGGTTACTGCAATTTGGATGATGGATGCTGACTCATTAGCTGCTGGTACTGAATTTTATTCCAACTGAAATCTCTACCCTTTGGTACACTTTTATGTCTTTTGTCCCCATTTTATCAGGCTTTTTCTTCAGCATATTCAGCACTTTAGTCTTACTTAGGAAAGGACTGTGTGTTTGAAGATGAGAAATGAGTACAACTTGGTAGGACCCAGAATTGTGTATTCAACCCAACAAGTGCTGTTTAGATCACTTGGTGTTTTGGTAACTGATGTAATGTCAAACCCACTGATCCAGTTAAACACACGTGCAGTCTTGGCTGCGAAAGCAACATCTGACAGAGCTGAATCAATGACTGCATAGCTTTTAAAAAGTTTTCTTGTCAACACAAGTGCAACAGAGCACCATCTCATCTCTGTCCGTGACTAGAAGAAAGAAATGAGAAACCACTTTGAACCAGATGGTGATTCCTTCTAGATGAAATAGGAGTCTTGTGCTTAGTATTTTCCATGAAGTTCATTTTACTCCGGTATTCTGTTGCATTTTGTCTTGTGCACAGAAGATTGCAGGTCAAATAAGCATGAGGGAATTAATAAAACCCCTGAATCTGTGGGAAAGGCAGAAAGAAGGGTAAGAATCAACCTGAAGTATTTCTAACCACTGAGCTGTAGTCTGGAGGTTGGATACTTTTACACATTGGTGACCAAAGTAGTCCAATGACTGCTAGTTAGGAAATTACTATATTTAAAATGTGACAACAAAAAGAATTGCGATTAACAATCCTAGTAATTCTTAATTGTTTACAAACACTTTTTAGCTGCCTTCTGAGTTGTTATATCATGTTGCAGGCATGAAACTTTGAACATCTTTGAGACAGCATGCTCTTAAAGATTCAAACATGTCAACAGAGGATAATCAAGTATGCAAGCAAAGGAGTTTACATGTGTGTTCAACTCTGCTATTGCTAAAGCATTTTCTTTCTTGTTTAGGAGTGGATAGGATCAAGAACCTTGCTATACTATTTTACTGTAGAGCATTCAGTCCTTGTAGTGTCCAAAACTTTCCATTAGCTTGTCACTTGACCTTACTGAAAAAGTAATATAGATAAATAAATAATTTTCTGATCTTTTATGCAATTTATTCTTATTGACTTTGAGAAAATATGCATATAAAAGAAGATTTAAATAGATTCTACCATCATACTTTCAGGTTCCTGAGCATGCAGAACTTGCCTGGATTCTTGGGTGCATAACTAATGTGCCACGTCTGCTACGTTTGCCCCAGTGGAAGGTATGGACAGTTTGGTAAATTTAAAAGAAAATTATGGGAATTCAGTAGAAATGTTGTCCTGGAAATAATTGTCATCTATGAAATATCAACTGTACCTTGGTTTTCAATTTAAGCAATTCTGTAGTCCTGTGGTGGAAGGGAGAAAACATCTCTCATATCACTCAACATATCGTTCCATGTTCCTCTTAGTGAACATTTACCTGCTGGAAGCTACAGAATTGTGGTTTTCGCAGAGACTTGCAGAAAAACGACTAAATAAGAGGTTTGTTTACTGTTGTTAAACTGATTTTGCTAGAACCTTCAGTGTTATTTCAATGCTTAATAATGCAAAGTAATGCAAGGCGTTGAAGTGGAAACCTTGGGCCTTGCTGATTAAGGAGTTCCATAAACAGCTTTTCTTTTTCTGCTACAAGGAGTGGCTGCTCTGTAGATTTTATGGAAGAGTATTCAAAAGAGGCATTTGTTTGAAGAGGAGTATAGGAATTATAAATACTAAAAATGTGCTGAGTGATATTGTATCTTAAGTGTTTGCCTTTACAAGTTTCAAATGTTCATCTTCTTAATCTTGATGTTGCATCATCATGACTGCATCAACAAAGTTCTTCCGTTTAATTTCCTTGTATTTTATTTTGACATTTAGTTAACAGAAAAAGAAAAAGACAGGAGAGAGAAGTATCTGAAAAAGTATAAAAAAAACCAAAACCAACAGCTTAAGAACAGTTTGGTTTGCAGAGTTCAGGGCAATCTTAAATACCTCCAGATGTTTTCTTTTTTCCTGTTTTCCTTCTTAATTAAATAAAACCAGTAAAACTTAAATACAGCAACCAGTGTTAATGCATGGCCTAGATTAAAGCAAACCTTTTCAAACCTGAGGTTCTAAAGTTAAGCTCTTAAATCCTACTTTGACTGGATTGACTTTCCAGACCTACAGATAGGTATTACAGGTGCTAGGCTTTGCAAATTAGGTTTCCTGAACTCTAGGCACTTAGAGATGTAGACAGAATACAGGATCTGTTGGACTGTGTGAGTGAAGTCTAAATATATTTGAACAGTCTTAATGAGATAATTCAGAATTCAAGGGGATCAGTATATTTAATTATTGCTAAAAGTAAAACTTAGACATGCCATCACTAGAACAGAGTTAGTATCTGTAGCCTGACTGTCTTGATCTAGGTGATCCATATCAGGGAGCAGTAGGGGACTTGAATGCATTTGGTGGATTATGGGGAGCATTGTGAACTAATGGAGGCAACACTGTACTCTGCCTCTGTAGTTCTGGGTTCTCCCAGCTGTCACTGGCTGTCCTGTGTGATCACTGTATCTTGATCTCTAACACAGGTATTAATACCATTTTGTATCTCTATTATGAAGTGTTTCAAAAATTTATTGCTGAAGACACTATTTAAAAAGTAGGATTTATGTGTAATATGCAAGTGTAATAACTCAACCTGATGGTTTTGCATTTGAAATTGTTTCCATTAATAAGGTTACAAACAGAAAACAAAAGAAACCCCGTTTTCCTTCTCACTAGAATGTCAGAACAGTGTTGGGAAATGCATAAATATAGGATATAACCCAGAATATATTCATAAGATTTTACATGCCGCTGTCTTCTGTAGAGCTACATATATAAATTACTTGATTATTCAGAATTCTAATTAGTTAAAATCACAGACTTTGGTACCATTAGTCAAAAGTGTGATTCTTCTGTGTTTTTCTTTTCCAAACAGATGAAGCGTGCCAGCCAGAATAGCGAAGGAACTGTTGGTTTGTTGACTTACCCTGTGCTTCAAGCAGCAGATATTTTGCTGTACAAGTAAGAGGCAGAATGTGAGCCCATGGGCAATGTCTTTGCAGCTGCATTGGAATGAATGCTTGTCAGGTCAACATGCTAACTTATTGAGCAGGGGAGCTGTGTGTGATTAGATCACACCAGTTCCAGAAGACTGGAAATGGATGACAGGCTCTCAAGTGGCTGGTTGAAATCTAGCCGGATTAAAAAGCTACTGACGGGGCTGTAAAGAGCATAAGCTGGTGACATGAGAATAATTCTTAGGGAATTATAACAGACTGGTGTTTAATTATACATATTGCACATTCACACAGATTTGCTTTTTTTAAAGTAGTTATGCTTTATTTTATTCAGTGTATTGTAGAGGTACTTAAACTGTATGTTGTATACCAATATTAGTGGGGGATTCTGTGTAGGCCAGTTCATACTGATGAAAAAGAGTGAGTTACTGACTGCAGCTGGGCTGGTTTAGTTTTCTGAACTGTGTTCTGTGCTGTACTGTGTGCTGCACTGGAAATAGCCCCTAGTGAGGGACTGGGAACTCAGCATGCCTAGGCATGTAAGCTGGCAGATAGAATTTGTAGTGCATTGTCATGACTGGTTGTATTTCATAATATGATTTAAACTGTCTCAGTAAGTAAATGTTAAAGACAGTGCACCGTGTATGAAATATTTTTGTGTTCAGAACTTAAATACTTTGTGGCATTGTTCTGAAGGAAATTGTAAGTATTGGTTGGGACAGAGAAGTAACACAGGGCTGAAGACAAGGATGTCAGGTCAGACTAACCAAGATTAACCAGTTGTGAATTCAGAAAAATGTATCTAGAGAAATTACATGTTAATTGATCATAGTAGGGAAAACACTGTTAGGTGAAAGGACTGTTAGAAGACCAAGAAATGGTATTTCTAATTTACCTAAATTTTAACTGAAAATAGAAGGAAGCAAGCAGAAGTCAAAATTTTTTTGACTATTATAATGATTTTATTTAAAGCGAGTCCCATCTGATTGTCAAATATTTGAGTGATTTGAGTGTCAAATGTTTAAGGGTGAAATTTAGACACATTTATCAGCAACCATGTTGTTTTGATTGAGCTCAACTGTGTCTGTCTCTTCTACCTCTAATAAGATCAGGTGTTTCATCTTTCCTTAGTAAAGCCAGTGGTTTGTTGGCTGCTTATCTGTATTAACAGCAGGCTGTCCACACAGACCACAAAACAAGGAAGTGAAAGAGAAACAATATGTCTTTGCAGAAATTTGACTTAATATCTTTAATAAGAAATGTTTTAATGTAAACAAAATATGAGGAATGAGAATTGGTGAGAAAGAGAAACACAGGAAGAGAACAGGAGTCACGAAGTAAAATTTAAGAGCTGGAAGAGGGGGAGAAACAGTACTAGCTCAGATGAACCGAGGATCAAAGAGACAGGAAAATGGACAGAGAAGGTAAATACATGACAGAAAGGAGTAAAAATAGCACCAGAATAGAAATATTTAAAAAGCAAGGAAAAATGCAAGGTATCATGCAGAGACTTTTATAGAGATAATATGTTTTCTGTTTAGTGGAAAACTTGGTGAATGTGGAACCATTTTGGCATATGGAAACATTTCTTTTGACCTGCTTAAAGGATATTGATTATGGTAACTGGTTTTCTCTCAGTTATAGGGCACTGTAATTTCCTATTGACTACTGTAACTGCTTTTAGGTTGCCTTGCTGGCTGGTTTGGAATAAAGGTGGACAAATTGATTTCTGGATGTCAGCCCAGTAATTCAGAATCAGAGAGAATGAGTACCGTGTTGATGGAAATTTTTTGGGAACTTTAAAGATGCATAGTGAACTTCCTTGCTTTGGAACATGTCCAGTATTCATAGCTGAATACCCCATAAGCCTTAGGAAAAAAATCTACTGGGGGATGGGAGAGTAATCAAAAGCTGGCAAGATTTCAAGTCTGCCTCATCTGAAAGAATCATACATTTTTAGCAAGTATGATTAACTGTGGGAAAGAATCACCAGGGGAAGTAATGGATTCTTCACCTCCTCAAGTCCTCTGATGCAGATTGTGTTTCCCTCCAGAAGCGCATTCAAGCCATTGAGTTCAATACAGAAGATCAAATTATCCTTTGAATCTAGCAGTTCTAATCTTCTAATAACACTTGTGACAATACAGGCACTGGACCACATGATTTATACAATTGTGGTGAGGAAGAAACACTCTTCTTTCCTTCCCTCAATACCTTCTCAGTAGTAGCTCCACAACAAGTTATGCTTACCTGAGGCTGGACATGACAAGGTGCTTGCACTTTATGCCTTGCAGATCTTTCTTAATTTGTTTGCACACTATAACATGTGCTCTTTGATCTCTAAAGAGATACCACAGAAGCCTTTCTTTGAGCTGAGTTTAATGAGTTGCTCATACAGGTATCTTTGCCATATATGTCTTCACAAAGGGCTATTTTTGCCCTTGCTTATGTGCTTCAATTCAGCATAAAAAGTAGAGTCATCCTTGAATATGTTCGGTTTAGGATCTTGTTCCCACAGTACCTATACCTAGCTGGGAATGAGTGTTTGGCTCAATCTGGCCCTCAGTCATGGCAGAAGCTGTGACAGTCTTGAGAAACATTTCAGCAGAACCAGAGAGCTTTGCTGAGTTTCCTGTATCTGTCTTTTATTAAAAGGTCAACACGTGTTCCTGTTGGAGAAGATCAAGTCCTGCACCTGGAGCTAGCCCAAGATATAGCACAACATTTCAACAAGAAATATGGAGAATTCTTTCCTGTGCCCAAAGCCATTTTAAGTGAGCTGGTCTTGGTTATTTTTTTTCCCATAACTGCACTTCTAAGTTGAAGATGGATTTAAATATTGTGGAAATAGTTTCAGGGCCCAAGAAGATGGGGCAAACCGATATAAAGGGAGTGGAAAATTAAAAACTGTCAACAAGAGACTAGAGGCTGTGAAAATGAACTCCAAGATAGATATAAGGCTTTAGAAATCTATGGTCGAGGAGTGTATGTGACGTCTGGTATTCTAGTCCAGGGGGCCAGATGCACTCCACTGCTGTCAGTCAGCCTTGCTCTTCAAGTACTGAACTTTTAAGAGTAGGGTCTCTATTCCATGTTGCTCATTCAGGAGATATGTAACAAGGCAAGAGACCTCTAGCAAGCAGAATTCTTCAGTGTCTGAGTGGGAGCTGTTTACTTTAAGCATGCTGAACAGCCTGTTGGTTTGTATGCACAGCGCTCCAATTTTTTTTAAGGGTGTTTAATATGTGCTTGAATATTTCAATATGTGTCTGCCACAGAGCTTAAGACTTTACGGTTTTTGATCTTACACTCAGGAAGACTTATAAGGAAAATCTTCTCAGCCATTTTTGAGCTATAAGGTCATAGGCCGGGGGGGTGAGGAGGAGTCAGATGGCGCAAATGGCATGTTTGTTAAGAAACGTGAAGAATTGGGCAAGGATGAAGCGTTGCATCTTTGTTGTAAGTAATGTAGAGGAATGCACAGCAGAGACCTTCGCCCCCAAAAGGGCAAGGAGCTCTCAAAAGACAGGCAGTAATAAACCTTTCTCAATTTTCAAGCCTCAGTGACAAAAATGGTGTTAGACTTAGAGTGGAGTTTTGAGAATATTAGGGATTGCAAACTCTGCAGTTTCTAATTGAGTACTAAGCATTATAAAGAGGAGCTGAGTGTAGCCTGTGATGCAGATGAGACTGTTTACCATTAAATGAAAAGCTCATTTGAAAAAAAGAAAGGAGAAAAAAAATTCATTTTGCTCCCAAAAAGCATTCTTTCTTAAGTTCACAAGTATTTGCAAACCAACAAAATATCCTAGATGAATGGTGAAGATAGACTCATTCTCATTCACATTCATCTCATATTCAGACTCATTAGCTGTAGACAATTGAATTACCTGCACTCTTTCCAATTTGCTGAAAAGGGACAGAAAGGGATTTCAAAGCACTTTCTGGGGCAATCTGAACTGTAAGCTGGAAGAACCCTTATCCTTCCACTGAGTGCGTAGGCCATCTATGAGCAGTATGCAGGTAATTTAGTTGGCTTTATTAGGTGTCTAAAAACAATTGGTGTGAGTACTCTGTAGATAACTGATACTTTATGTACTCCATGAATGATATTTCTTGGTGAAAAACTGAAACAGTGTGGGTTGATGCTGTTAAGGTACATCACAATATTCTCCTAATGCTACTAATCTATCACATGTACATGCATTTATCTTAGCACTTTGTACAATACCCACACCTTTCTTATCTGAACGGTGCTTTACATCTAACAGAGCTGGTCAGTGTTGACTTAGAGAGTTTTAATAACTGCTTTTACTGAGATTTAGGAGCATTGCCAAGAGATTTTGAGTGGAAGAGTTTCCTGAAATAAGGAGATTAACTGTTTATGGAATTCTTATATTTTTTTTTACCAGTGGAGTTAACTTGTTTCTCTACTGTCAGAACCTTTCAGTAATATGAAGTAATAGAAGGAAGGAGAAATTTGGGGAGTGGAAATCAGCTTGTGAGCCACATAAAATACTAGGAGCAGCCCCAGCAGAAGTTCCTGCTTAGTTAGGATGGGAGAGATGGAACAGGCTTCATTCAGTTTGTGACAGGAGAAAGGTGGCTTCTTAGAAGGACAGGAAGGGTGCAAGGACTAAACAGAGCATACATGATTATGCTCACAATTCATTTTTGAGCAAGGATAAACAGCTTCATCATATAGCTGCACATCGTTCTTAGCAATTGTCATGAGAAACCATTGTCTAAGCTCATAACTCTTTCTTTTTTGAAGGTACAACGAAGAAAATAAAATCCCTCAGAGATCCATCAGTGAAGATGTCCAAGTCAGACCCACAGAAGTTGGCTACTATTAACATAGCAGACAGCCCTGATGAAATCGTGCTGAAATTTCGCAAAGCTGTGACTGACTTTACCTCGGAGGTGACCTACGACCCCGCCGCTCGCCCCGGTGTCTCCAATCTGGTGTCCATTCACGCTGCAGTAACAGGGCTTAGCATCAAAGAAGTGGTGCACCAAGCCACAGGTCTCGACACTGCTCACTACAAAATGGTGGTAGCTGAGTCAGTTATCCAAAAATTTGCACCTATCAGGAATGAAATCAAGAAACTCCAGGAAGACAAGTCCCATCTGATAAAGGTTTTAGAGGATGGAGCAGAGAAAGCCAAAGAACTGGCTGTTCCTGTCTATCAAGAAATAAGGAGACTGGTGGGATTTCAATAGAAGCTGCTGAGTAGTTGCAAGGACTTTTGTATCATGGGACAGAGATTTGTTATTTGTAATAAAATCATTTATTAATTATTAATCGTTTTGGTTTGAAACAAAAACTTTTTTTTCCTGGAAGATCCAAAGAGTACATTGAATATGATTGCACTAAAATGTGCATGAAGCCAGGTATTTCCAGTGGGACCAGCATTAAGCTTATCTGGATAGTCAGAGGGAGGACAGAAGCAATCACAATTCACAAAGAAATTGTGCAAAAGCAGATTATAAGGTTGCCTATGTGGGTTTTTGGATTTTTTCACTGCAAGAAGATGAAGTGTAGGCAAGGTGATCAGAATCTAGCGGAAAGATTTGTAATCCTCTAAAGAATGTACTTACCTGTGTATGTGATCTTGTTACACTTGGACAGTTTATCCTATTGGAGATTATTCAGCTTTGATATGGTGATTCAACATGCTTTTGGACAACCAGAATAAAAGCAGATATTTAAAAATAAATGCTCAGGATGATGAAGAGAGAACTTACTGCTTCTCCCTATAGTGTCTTCAAATTCATTGTGAATTTTTTTTCTATCTATGTAGTTTATGTGAAGTGAATTCCACTTCTGCCATTTGTGCCTTCCTGCTGGTCAGGGCTAAAGTACTTCACTGAGAAATGACATGTGCTTCAGCTGCTTCTGTTTCACCTGCTGTTCTGTTTAGCAGGGAGCTCCAGGATTTTCAGTTCAGCAGCAAGTCTAGGATTGCTTTAAGAAAGGTGTAGAAGAGAAGATGTAATCCTGAATCAAAGGAATCTTGAATTGAGAATCAGAGAACGTTTTGTAAAGTTTACAAAATTGCTTCTTTAAAAAATTGTGCCAAGGTCAGAGCCAGAATAGTTAAATAGATCTTTATGGACTCTTCACTACTGAGCCTTGAGAAAGTGTAGTGATGGGAGAACAATGTTAGCCTGCCCTGATCTGAGGCCTCAGAAGTTCCACAGACTTGGACCCACGAATTGTGGCACTTGTTGGGGAATGTGTGGCAAAGGGAAATTGCCAAAAGGAGACACCATGTTCTGAAGAGGGGTAGTAGTACATGTTAAAAGGTAATGAAAGTCCTGTGCCAGCTTATTTAACTATGGCATTGCACTTTATGGTGCTGTGTTTGAAATTGCTGTACTGTAATGTAAATTGAGTTAATCCTGTACTCTGGGAGCTCATAACCACTCTATGCCTGTGGCATTTGTCGTGAAGGATTGCAGTCTTACATGACTGAGTTAGTGAAACTCAGGTGGTTGTTTCTACATAGTGCAGTTGGTTGATTAGTTGTTCTGGGTTTTTTCTAAAAAGCAGTATTTAGTTAATTATAATGAGTTTATTTAGAAAGAAATATTTAATTTTCCAAAACATAAAGTTGAGGACTGAGTGTATCCAAATCTGTGCTGAGACCTGTATTTATTTGTTAGGGATCTCAAGAAGAGAACTGCCATGCAAGAACTTGATGATGAGAGATTTTCTAAAATTAATCAAGACTAGAGAAGCAGAGTGGATGGAGACAGAGTGATTTGAACCAAAATCGGTATAGACAAGCCTAAAGTAATTACCTCTGGAAATAATATTGAAAAATTGTCCCTGGTTTCAACTAAACCGTAGTGGATAAGGAAAGGGCGTGTTATAACTGTACATATTTATGTAGTTCTACAGAACTTTTGTCAGTGTTTAACAGCTGCATTAGGGCACTAAGATGAAAAATTAAAGCACACAATTACTGCTACTTCCTGACTTGACATAAAATGTTTACTGTGGCACTTTTTAACATAGATTGATTTCAGCAAAGGTCCTGCAGTATGTACCTTGAGAGAAGTTAACACTGTCCTCATGAAGACTCTGAAAATCTTTAATACTAATGTATCTAGTGTCTACCTGTACCTCTTTTTCACTAGCAAAGACAGAAGCATATATTCAAAAGACAAATCAGTTTCAAGGTCTCTTTACACTTCTGATACTCAAATCATCTAATAGATAGAGTTGCCATTCAACACATCTTCTCTGCAGTGGAAGGGAAATAGGAGCATTCATGGGAGGGGTTGACATGACCAGGTAATTTTGGTTTGTTACTTAAACTATTCTGAGCAATCTTCCAAAACTGTTAGATTCTTTTTCAGAAAATCATGTAAGTAAAGCAGGGAAAAAAACTCTTCAAAAGAGCCTTTTCTTTGGGGTAGGGGTTTAAGGCATTACATATTTTGTTGTGTTTCAATCAAATTCACTAATTTGCCTCTTTTTAATTCAATAATACATTGGGGTTCTTTCCTTCCCTTTCCCCATGTCAATCAAACAAGTCTTATTCATCTGATCTATTTCCTTCATTTAAGGAAATATATATGGTTTTTTATGTTCAGAAAAGTTAAACTTTATATAAAATGAATATATTAACCTACTGATTCTCGAGTTAGCTTTTTATTTTAGTTTCTCCTGTGGAGGAATTTTCAAAATAACATGTTTGCTCAGTGAAATAATCCAGATTCCATTAGCAACCATGATCTTGAGAATCCCTTGAGAGGAAACAATAAATGTAGATGTTTGCAGGTATCTGTTGCCTATTTCAGTTTTCTTAGAGTATGTTTTTTCTGTAAAATTAACCATCTTGGCATTCAGGTGGATTAGCTGAACTTGAAGCAATGAATTGATTCCAAGCTGCTCCCTCCTCTTCTGCCTCCCTGTTTCTTCTTGGGAATGTTTTATAAGCACCCATTCTACATAGAACAGCTAGAACAATTCAACAGTTAGAACAGCTGTTTAGAGAACAATTGTTGGAGAAGACTTGATGCTCTGTGTTTCATAATTATTTGTTTGACACTAACTCTAGTGCTGGGGACTTAATGTTTGTTTGCAACAAAGTAGATGCACTCCCAAAACGCATTTTCATGTTTGTTTTTATCCATCACATTCTCTAAGACTTCTCTGTGATGACAGCTGAAGTGCAGTTGGTGGGAAGTCTCTGCAGAAGCACACTCCTCATCCCAGCTGCAGTGTGGAATGTACATACCCTGTGGTATATTGGAAGTTACTGTAAAGTGTTCTTCCAGGACAGGGTGGGACAAAGCTCCAAATATATCTTTCCTAATTGAAGTAAAAAGAGCCAAAAGGTGGAGAGATATCCTTACCCCTTGCTGTGTTGCTCACTGAAGAAGAGGAAGCAGAAACAATGATCCTTTATTTAGAATGCGTTGGTAATTTGCGCCTTAGGCTCAAAATCTTCTCTTTTGCCGTTCCTGTATGTTAGTGCACCTGGCCTACTGCAGATCCAAATCACTACATATGTATCAGACATAGCATCTCCTGGTAAAACCCACTCACCTCTAGAGATAAACCATCAACTCCACAGTGAATTACTTGCAAATATATAACAAAAACATTTTCACACTTGAGAGATTTATTTTTCCAGCTAGTTGTTCCCAAGAAGTCATGATATCACATAGTGAGTCTCAGCTCTGTGCTTTCAATTTAGAGCACAGAGTTTACTGAGAATTTTAGATTCAGATTCAGAATCTAGATTTAGATTCAATGTTTTCTTTAGCAAAGATTACAAATGATGGTTGGCTCCATAAATTAACTCTGGGACTGCTCCAGAATGCATCCCTGCCTCAGATAGCTGGAGTGAATGGATATTGTACATTATACCGGAACTTAATTGTAACTCTTTAAAGATGTGGTTGAAGTATACTTAGTTTTCAAACACCATGACCTGGCTTCTCAGATTCCCCAGAAGGCTTTCTGCATATTTCTGATTCAATGTGTGTTTATCTACAATCAATTCAAGCAAAGTTCCTTTGCAGGATTATGGCTGCATCCATTAAAGGCTGAGGAATTCATAAAAGTGAGCTGAAAGTCTAAGGAAGGAGAGTGAAATGGGATCCTTGGGGACTGACCTGCATCTAAATGTTTTGGGAACCATAGGTTATCAAAGCAAATGTTTTCTCATCTTTGGTTAGGGCCATCATGATCCTGACAACAGTGTAGTAGTAAATACTGGTGATGAAAGTGTGTTCTTTCAGTGCTCCAGCTTGGTTAGATTTATGTTCAGTACAACAGATGGCTCTTTCACCATTTTGGTCTGTGCATTTAAGCTCTTGGATGCTGCCTACCTGGTTTTTTTTGTGGCTGATGGTCTGCTGCACAGAGAGAAATAGACTAGCAAGCTGGTGTAGGAAGTCTAGTGGAAAAAGGGTTTTGTTCAGGAAATATATTACCTGTTCTTGACAGGAAAACAAAACCCCTCTTTTTGCTGTGTTGGGCAGTCTAATTACCTTTAAATTATTTGATCTGTTCATTCTTTCTAGGTAAATTTGACAGTAGCTGCAAGAAGAATGTCTATGTATTGTGAAGTGAAAAGCCTTGGAAGGACCCAGACATCTCGAATCTTTTCTAAAGTCTCTTACATAGTGGGACTTTACTGTTAGCATCAGCCAGTTTTGGGAAAAATGCTGCAGCAAAACTGTAATCATATGTGACATTAATTTATCTGCTTAAAGCTTTTGTGTTTTGGTTTGGGTTTTTTAGCTCACTAGGCTGTGAAAGAAGACTTGTTAAATATTGAATTCCCAGCTAAGCTTTTTATTGTATAGTCCTGTCCAGATGATAGCTGAAATAATGGAAAATTCTCTTCATTATCAAAAGATTCTGCTCTGATTCTCACTGTCTTTTCTGTTAGTCTGCTGGTTGTGCTAATAGTCATATTGTGGAAGTATTTATTTTACCTGCAACAGTCCCATATTATTATGGAAATGGAAGATTCAGTGATCACTTGTAGGCAGGAGCCTTGTTGTCACAATTATTTTGTATAAAACCAAATGCCAATTTCCTGCACAGGTAAACAGTTTAACACCTGGGAAGATGTTCTGCCACTGTTGTAAATTGCTGTCACAGAACACCGTGACTGAAGATGAGATTATCCACTACAGGAGTGGTCTCGTGCTGCCTGTGGACATAAAGTTAAGCACTGAGCTTAACTCTGTTGTGCTGTCATGCTCTCAGCATTCCAACATGGCTGTGAGACAGGAACAGAGCAAATCTGTGCCACACCAGAAGGCTAGATCAGTTCCAGATGTGCTACATTTGCTGTATCTGCAAGATGAAATGTCAAGACAAGAGTTGCAGAACAAAAATCCTTAAAAGTTATTAAATGTTTGGAAGTACAGCAAGCTTGTAAAGCTTGGCTTATAGGGCCTGTGATAGCGTGGTCTTAGCCTCACTCATATACAGCTGACAGGAGCAGTCACACAGCTGAGTGTGATGGTGGCATAAGGTAAGCCATCTGCTTCTCAGTGCAATAATCTAAAGACAGAATGAGTCTAATTTGAGGGGTTACTGGATTAACCATCACAGGTGGGAAATAACAGTTTATGGCAGAGCAAGGTAGTACCACATCTCTCTTGTGTCCTAAACCATTCTGAAAACAGGTGCTCACAGTTTTCATGAGGTGGGGACATGCTGCATGAACAGCATCACTTGTCCCACTTGCTGTTGTATCTGTGCCTCTGCAGTTCCTCTAATTTCAGTTTGGCGTGACTTTATTGTAATCAATGTGAATTGATAGTCACATGCTGATAAAATTCATGGAACTTTAGTTTGAAACACTGGATGTATGCTCTCTACTATCTTTGGTGGAAAGTTCTTTCCTGATGCCCCAGGATTTATAGAAAGAAATCATTAAGCCAAATAAGAAGGAACTTATCAAAACAAGGCTATTCTCTGGCATTTTCTGGTGTAGCTGATTTCTGGCTTCATTCACCTTGTTTACCTTTGTGCTTCCTCCCCTGAGCCACATCCCTCTCTGAGTAAAGTAAAACCTGCATGTTGAATGTTGTGATACTGACTTTTTATTGTGACTGGGAACAGTTGATCAAATATATTTGAAGAGTCTCTTTGTGGTGTTTGCTGAATCAATAACAAAGATTTCAATAAGTGCCTCTTGAGTATTTAAGCCAAGAAATATCTATGAGTGGTTGGGGTTTGCTCTGCCCATACTTACTCCTTCATGGCCTGTCTGGCAGATGTTCCTACAGCAAGAATGTGAGAAAGAGAAATTTTCTCCTTAGGGCTGTAGGCCAAATGTAAACTGTGAGTGGCAGTGTGGCATCCATTATTTTTAGACAGTCCTCATTAATTTTCTCTTAGTGATCTAACTGTTTGCACAGCCCCAAAGTTAAAATTGTGTGGATATTCAGGGGAAAAAGCATTGGATGTCAACAACTAAACCCATTTCTGTCTTGGAGCCTTTGTGTCTTTGCTATGCATGCACACTGGCGCATGAGGAAGAAGGGCCTTGGGAGGAGAGGATTACTGTTGTCACCATTGAGACAGCTGATCCAAACTGTGACACTCCTACCTTAAGTTCACCAACATGAACCCCCCTAGAAGGAAGCTGTGAAGTGCATGAATTTACTGAGTACACTGCACAAGTGCTGCAGGTTCTGTATTATTGGTGTGACCTGTTGGTGTTTTTTGGTGTTTAACCCTTGCCAAAATGGCCCAAGGATGTGCTGGGATTCCGAAGATCTCAAATCTCTTATGAAGAAAGGCTGAGAGAGCTGGGCCTGTTCAGCCTTGAGAAGAGACGTCTCTTCTTGAGAAGAGGGGACCTCATGAGTGTCTACAAGTATCTGCAGGGAGGCTGTCAAGAGCATGGAGCCAGGCATCCAGTCACACCATTCCTGGTGGTGCCAAGCCCTAGGAGAAGAGGCAGTGGACAGAAACTGATGGACAGGAAGTTCCATCTGATCACAAAGAACTTCTTTACTGTGCAGATGCACTGGAACAGATTGCCCAGAGATGTTGTAGAGTCTCTCTCACTGGAGATATTCCAGAACCATCTGGATACAATCCTGTGCCACACGCTCTGGGAGGATCCTGCTTGAGTAGGGAGGTTGGAGCAGCTGATCCACTCTGATCCCTACCAACCTGACCCATTCTGTGATTGTGTATATTCAGATGTGTTGCTGGATTTTATGTGAGTTATTCTGGCTCCCCTGAAGATGAAATGTGCTTTTTTAGGGTGACTTATATTTAATGGGCCTAATTCCTACAGAGATATTATTAAAATAAACTTCAGAATTCCAAAATATCTGTGTAGCATAACAACAAAATTGAAATTATGAGCTTTGCTGCTGTTTCAATCCACTTTGCTTACCAGCATCACACACTGGCAGGAGTAGAAACTCCACTTTTTTTTTTCTTCAAGCCAACCAAGTTCTGACCCAAAGGGCTTCAGTCTACTTTCTGCTTGCCTTTGAGGAGGTGAATTAGCTTGAGTGTGAATGTTGTCTTTATGGCTTATGAGGATATTTCAGTAGATGAAGAGTGTAAAGGGAGATCTCTGGGTAACCTGAGAAGATTTAATGGATGCTGCAAGGTTTTGGGGAGGATGTTTTACCTGTCTTCAGTTAAAAAAAACAAACGAAAACAAAAAACAAACAAAAAAAACCAGAACAAAAACAACAAAAAAATGAGTGTACTGTAGTTGCAGGTGAGAATTTGATAAATAGAGAATATTAAATATTCCCTATCAGTTTCACTGAATGTTTTGCTACAGCTTCATAGAAAACAGCAAAATGTTCATCATCGAAGTAATTTTGGTGTATTGTTTTTAATGTGATTTGAGCCTTTGTTGTCTGCTTTGCAGTTTTCTGTTCCTTTACTACTTTCTCTGCAAAATGAGTTTTGCTCTTTGGTTAAGCAAAGAAAATCTAAAAACATTTTACTTTTTATTTGTTGCATTTGAGCAGGATGTTTTGCTTCAGTTTCCTCATTATAAATGAGGCATAGGAAACTTCATTACACATATATTGGGAGGCTAAACTAATATTTACCAAGCTTCTAGTTCAAGGTGCCCTCACTTGGCACTGAGTTACAGTATTTCTTCCTGAAGTGCTCTTTTGGTGATGCTTGTGGTGTAAGTAAACCAATGAAAAGTGGTGAAGGGCAGACAGTTCAGTACAGAGTAATAAATAATGCATTTAGTGAAAGCATCCGAGTTGTGTCTTCACAGAAACCGGTAGGCTGTTGATTTCTACCTTGATACTCTTTGTTGTGCTGCAAAATACTTGAAAATGTCTCTTAATCTTTGTCTCCTCCTTGCTCTGTGAACGCAAAGGGCTACCCGGGATCTAATATCAAAAGCAAGGCAATTCTGCTACAGGGAGGGTAAAAAATAATTACTGAATTTCTTGAATAGGAACAACAGTTTGGGTTGGCATTTGGGTCTTTTTTTAGGGAACCGGTCCCTCCATTCTTGGTCCTCTCACGGCTGGTGGGTATCTCGAGGATGGCACACCCCCGTTTGCTGTTATTGCAGGCCTCTCCCCGCTCCCCACCTGGAAACTTAGCGGCCAGTGGAAAGAAGCGGGAAGTGAAGCGGGGCAGCGTTGCTCGGGCTCCGTGTGCGGGGAGGCGCTTCCCGAGCGCGGGGGGAGCCGCTGGTCCCTGCGGCGGGGG